TTTTTTTTTTTTTTGCAGTTTTTGGCTGGGGCCAGGTTTGAACCCACCACCTCTGGTATATGGGGCCAGCGCCCTACTCCTTTGAGCCACAGGCACCTCCTCTGCTGTGTTTCTTTTTTAAGGCCAATTAAGGAAATATCTGTGATCCTTAGGAAATATCAAGGAAAGACAAAGGTTTGCACACGACACGCTTGGGAGCGCTCACAAACATGACTAGCCACAGACTTGGTGGGGGATGCCTTAACCTCCTAGGAGGCCCCAGGCCCAATCCCAAGCATGCTGCCGTCAGAATCTCTGGAGTGGCACCGGGAATCCTGAATTCCCACTGCCTCACCGAGTCTCCTGGACTGACCCCGCCCAAAGCCCTGCCTGTGGGAACTCCACTGCTACTTGTGGGGACTCCAAAAGGCTCCTGGGCCAGTCACTCCTGCTCACACTTCCCTTCCTTGCAGTGGGCCTTATTCTTTCCTCAGGTTCCCCCTTACTCCCCTCAATTTTTAATTTAATTTTTATTTATTTTTTAGAGACTAGGTCTCTGTTGCCCAGACTGGAGTGCAGAGGCACAATCATAGCTCACTGCAGCCTGGAACTCCTGGGCTCAAGTGAGCCTCCTGCCTCAGCCTCCTAAGTAGCCGGGACAACAGGTGCATACCACCACACCCTGCTAACTTTTGGGGTTTTTTTTGTAGAAACAGGGTGTCACTATGTTGTTCAAGCTGGTCTCAAACTCGTGGCCCCAAGTGAATCTCTCTCAGCCTCCCCAGAGTGCTGGATTTACAGGTGTGAACCATTGTGCCCGCCCCCTGGGTCCCATTTTTAAACATCCATTGCCCACACAGGCAAATGTCATATACCCAAAGGACCCCAATACTGCAGGGATTCTGAGTCAGACAGGGAAACAGGTGTCAGAAAGGCCTGCATGTATGGATGAGCAGCTACGACTGCTGAGGTGGAGGGAGACAGAAAACACTCACCAGGGCTGAGGGGAAGAATACAGAAGCCTTGAGAAGCAGCCCTGGCAGTATGCCCAGAGGGACAGCTGGGCCTGCCGCTCATTCAGTCAGTCAGTGAACAGCCATTGACTAGGCACCTCTATCACATGCCAAACCCCACAAGGCACCAAGGGCACAACACACAGACCCTGTGCTGGAGCAGCTCGGTCTAGAAGAGGGGCGTTGTGCTAAGTGGGGTTACAGAGGCAGCAGAGAGAGGAGGTGCCTTCCCTGCCTGGGAGGGGACACTGCCATCAGGAAGCCTTCTCAGCAGAGCAGCCATCAGATCTATAAGGATGAACAGAAGCCAACTGGGGACGGGGCACAGGGAGGACCAGGCAGAGGGTCTAGGTGTGTGAAGGTCCACAGGGGCTCTGGGAGAGAGGACTTTCCTTTGGCTGGATGAGCAGGTGCTAGGGGAAAAAGAACAAGACCCAGGGAGGCTGATGTGCCTGATAAGGAGTTTGGGCCACATGGCAAAGAGGGCTGACAGACCACTGAACAGGAGGGCCTTGAGGGACAGAGGTTCCACGGGCAGGGACTCTCTGGACCTTAGTTTGTTCTCCCATAACATGAGTGGGTTGGGTCCATGTCCCACAAGGCCTTCTCTGTTTTGTACTCAAGGGTCACTCCTGGCTAATGAGGGCCAAGAGCTCTAGACCAGGGTGACACAGTGAAAGGCAGGGTTGTGGCCTCCCAGCTGCACTGTGAGAAGCGATGTGACAGACATAGCCTCTGTGGTGCTATGGGAGCAGGGAGGAAAGGTCTCAGCCAGCGCAGAGGTCAGGGACGGCTTCCCAGAGGAAGGTCCCAGGCTGACGGAGGACTTGAGCTGAGCAGGGCCCTCTGAGAGGATAGAGGAAGGGGCGAGGGGAGCAGGAGTGTCCTAGGCAGTACTTGGGAAGCAGACGCTGCATTTCCTCCAGTCACTCATTCAGTTTGTGGTTACCAAGCACCTGCTGCCTGCCAAGCAGAACAGAAGGCCTCCACTCTCCTGGAGCTCATATTTAAACAAAGGAGACCTTGCCAGAGAGGGATGAGGTCACAAGACTGGGGGGCGGGGGGCATGGTGGCTTACACCTGTAATCCTAGCACTCTGGGAGGCTAAGGCAGGTGAATTGCCTTGAGCTCACGGGTTCAAGACCAGACTGAGTCAGAGTGAGATATCTCTAAAAATAGCTGGGCACTGTGGCAGGCACCTGTAGTCTAATCTACTCAGTAGGCTGAGGCAAGA